TGATGACGTAACTGAAGGTAGATTCGCTACAGAATTATTCGCTATGATCAGAATCCAGCATATGGAACTGGTAGATATTAGTTGCGAATGAAATTTTTCATAGAATTAATATAACAAGCTCCATTGACCCTAAACAGCTATTAGTCTATTGAACATGTCCAAACTTAAGGGGTAGAAAGGAACAATTTCGTTAAAGGGTTTTTATTGTTTAATAATTATGTTAGTTTGACATCTAAAAATGATAAAAGAACAAAGTGCTATTAAATTCTGGGGTGCATTTTTGAGAGCCAACCGAAAATTTCTTAGTTTTTTAAAAATAACTCAAAAACAATGCAAATTTGCAGATTTTTACAAGAATACTTTTTATAGAAAATCAAATTTTCTATCAAAATACCACATTAATTTTGACTAAAAACGTTTATGTTCGAAATTTTAATTTTTTATTTGAAGGCTAGCGTCGGGGTATTTCTTTTGGCGTTTAGATCTGCCCATAGAATACTCATTTAGGGTGGCCCATCTTATGCAACCCTTGAAAAATTGTGCTGCCACCCCTTAAAAAGGTTTCATGTGATGAAAAAACATCCCCACTAAAATTTTATTTTGATCCGATACCAGGAAGTGGTGCCGCATACAACGTAAATTTTGATAAAAATGAAAAGTTAATTAACACCTAATTTTGCAAATATGTTGTATTTGTAAATACAAAATGTATTACAAAACAATAATTTGTTATCGTGAAAGCAGATTTAGAGCACGAAATATATTCTCTAATAAATCATAAATAATTAATCTTAATGGGAAATGGGTAAAATAACACTACATATATGTATTATATACGTTTTCAAATTTGGAGTGCTTTATTTATAAAAAAAAAATATCTAAACAGCAATGCACATTAAGTTCTTTTACGATATATCTAATCTACAAGTTTACTTAAGACTATTCTAAGACCTGCAACATTGTCTCTTTTTTAACATCTGGGAAACGTGTTTTATAATTCTTAACAACTTGAAGTAAAAATTGCTTTCGATCTTCGTCCTTGGTTAATATTTTGTTATACTCAGTAATTAGCTTAATACCTCTTTCAGCTGTCATTTACTACTTTAAGATTGTTGATAATTTTGCAACATTTGTTGTAACTTTCGTTTTTAGTCCAAGTTGCTGGATCGCTTTCCAAAAATTCTGTTTAGAGCCCTTACCATTTCCTTTTTATCATCAATTAAAATATTTTCATCGAAGAATGATAAGGAGACATTTTCAAGATTTAAATACCACAAATGGTTTTTTATTTTACCACATGCAGCTTTAGATATACTGGCGTCTATGGTTTTATATTTTATTAATTCTTTACAAAACTGGAGGTCGTGAAATAGGGCCTTTTTTGCAGAACGTGCTGTAAACCAGGCATTTATATAAATATTTACGAGAAACAAGCATATGTCGTTAATAGCTGATTGCTGTTTTTGTGTTAGTTTAAACTGATCTTGAAAGAATTTTTTTTTAACAATAAATGGCTTTAGACATCCAGCGTGCGTGATGAAATGCACCAGGACGATAAAATGTCGCGTTTGACGGCTGTTCTTCAAAAAACAATTTGGAAAGTAATACAAATTCTTCATAATCATCTCGGGGATGTTGTATTGCTAGGAATGAATTTATGAAATCGACAATTTTAGATTTTCGATGCTGCAAACTTTGCTTAATTGTTTCGAGTTGAAAACCTGTTTTAAAACTAGTTTGGCCTATTTTAGGCCAATATTCTTTAAAACGTTTAGATAAAGTACCAGTAGGACCAGATGAAGAAGACATTTTTACATCAAATACGCAAAACTATTTCGAAAATATGATGTCTACACGGAAAATATATAGTATAGGGATGTAATCAATATTCTGTTAATACCTATATACCTAATATTTTTACCTGCTTGCGGCACATGTTCCTCTTGTCGGATTGAGTTGAATTTTTGGTGGTTTTAATTTTTAATATAAAGGAACATTTTCACCGGGTGGCCCTGTAAAAACCTTTAAAAATTATTTTCACCTCTGTACAGATGGGCCACCCTTACTCATAGATATTAGGCATTCCTCCCGTTGTAGTAAATTTGTAGCTTCTTGTCCAAATGAATTAAATTGGTCTCGGAAAGAGGAAATATTTGCTTTTAGCCCTTTCAATATGTTTTCCCCAAATTAAAATACAGACCTGGTTTTTGGACCCGATTACTTTGACGGACAGACTCAAACTGAAGACCAAAGAAGAAAGAAGAGAAGAAGGAAAACTTGTGTGCAGTAGTACTGTACGACAATTTTAATTTTATCATAGCACACATAACAAATTGTGTTTGTTTTATCTGTCTTGTACTAATGATTTGCGATGCGCCGGTCTCTCACTATCGCCTTTGGTGTCGCCGCCTCGCACGTGTATTTGTCGACGATTTTGGAAGGTATTATGGTTTTGCTTGGTATTTTAAAACATGTCCCTGTCTAGAAAGTATGGCTTATTATTTTTGCTTTACCTATGCAGTGACTGTTGACTGGCTCCAGTCAAAAATTATTATTAGTTGTTAAAAATCGGTTGGATTGTTCGGCTGAAATTTTGAGAAACGTGTTGCAAAAAAACTAGTGCGTTTATTCCTTGCTTACGGGACCTTTACTAGCATAGGCCCCAACGCCCAACTCACTGAACCGCGGGGCCGAAGGCTGCAGCCTCTTTAGCCCCCCCCCTTAATCCAGGCATGATTTTTGGGATCCGATAAAAAGGACTCTCCGAATCGAATGGTACATCTCTGGCTTCGAATTTAAAATTAAAAAACGAAAGGAGGACAATATCAGGCTTGTTGGCGTGTATTAGCCTGGTGGTGGGGAATGAGTAGTTCCAGTAAAGGTAAGGCAGCACTGGTGTCTCGTCTAAATTACGAGTGCCGTAGATGGTAATAAAGCATTCATAAAGCCGCATTGTGTGATGGATGTAGCTGGAGACTGTATATTCTACAGGACAGTAAATGCATCACAGTTTCCGGTGCCCTATTTTTATTATTACTATTATCCTAAGATAACTATATTTTATACAATATTGTAAAACATCTGATAATCTTTCTTTTTTTGTTGGCAGTTCAATTCTTTTAATCTTCATTCAGCATAGGTACCTGTGGCTCGGACACATCGATGTTTTACCTCGTGCTGAGGGACTGTTTGTGGTTTATTGGCCAGACTAAGATTTTATATACTTCAGTGATTGCAATCGAATAGTGTCAAGCGGTAGGATATCGGCGAGTAACTCTATCCACCTTTGTCGAAGACGACAGCAGATAAATTCGATCAATGCTGTGACGCTTAAAATAAGACGTTATAGTGGGATCGCATATTATCCTCCCCACGTTGCGTTCAAAAAGCAAAAATAATGTTCACGTCCAAACTACCGAGCAAAGTCGATGCAATCAGCTACCAAATAGGTTATAAAGAGATCTATTTTGTTTAATGATTACTAATTACTAAATGACTTGTTATACATAAACATTCGGGTATGAATAATCCTTTATTTGACGTTAATTGTTGATTTTGCTTGAATTATATGACTTAAATTACTGAGATTATCGAGTTATTTCTTAACCCAATAATGAATGCTGTTGTTTCTCATCATTACATCTGATTTCTTTGAAATACTGCTCATCTGTTAAGTTGGGTTTTCCATCAGTTGACGGAGAAACTCTTAGCTTTCCAAATTGTGTGTACCTATAGTTGGTATTATTGCGCCAGTTGATTGCTGCAGATGCAGATCGCAGATCTTTTATGGGAATTCGATGCATGGGCTTCTCTGGAGGCAAATTGTAATATACGATGGCAAATCGATACCTATTCCTCGACTTTCAGTAATGCTCTCGTTCACTGCAGCAATAATGTGGCTTGGTTGAAAAAAGGCCTATCTACAAACACTAGGTTTTGAGATAATCCAATATGTGTGACAAAATTTAAAATGCCTTTACTTTTAAAAAAATATCTTCGATTCTTCTAATAAAACAAAATTCTTACATGGTCCAACAGTAATGGTTATTATTCTGATTTTTCTTTAGTAAATGTGAAAATTTTTATATGGGTATTGATTACTTTGGGTTTGAGTAATCGGTAATTTCTTTTCTGCACTTTGATTATAGATCAGTAGTGGTTTAAATAGTCTATTTATATGATTAACACTTAAGAATATACAATATTATATATTTTGTAAATAAACATTTATTAATTTTAAAATACATTGAAACATAAAAATAGAAATAGAACTCATTTTAAATGCCCCACTCGATATTTTTGCCTTATTTTTACCCTAAGAAAAAAATCAGGAAAACTACATTTACCTATTTTTTTTTGGAAAATTCGAATCCGAACATAAAAAACCCATAGAAAGTTAAATAAAAAGTTATGGCCAAAAACGCGAGAAATACAAAAAATATACACCCTGTATATTAGATGCAGGAACGAACACAGTATAATACCACAATTATAAAAAGCAGTCACACGACTTCACTTCCGGTTTAAGATGGACCCCGTATATTATGTTCGTTTTAAAGAAAATTTCAACTTGGATTCAACGATATATAACACATTGTCAAAATATGTTATATTAAATAATATATTGAGGTTTAAATATAAAATACCAAAAATAGTCGCCTATGAAAACAATCAAATAAGACAAACCTATCTATTTGTTACAACACTTATAACGCTGCAATAAGAGAAAACGATGTTGGTTATTTATTGACAGTTGCTTAGGTGATAACTAGACTTGTCTTGTTTAGTTGTTTTTCATAGGCGATTATTGGTATTTTATATTTTACACCTCAATATATTAATAACTACTTATAACATTGAGCTGAGACTCAGGGGGAAACGGGTTACCAGGGAGTAGGTATTGAGTAAAAATTCAATTTAAATCTAGGACTCGTTTTGAACCCTGGAAAAACTGAGTCTCGGCTCATATTTTGGCGCCCAACGTGGGGCACGAACCCACGGCCCGGATAGCTCAGTCGGTAGAGCATGAGACTCTTAATCTCAGGGTATTAACGTAATAATTATGTTCTGACGATTCACTCAATCTAACCTAAAAGATGTCTAATAATTTCATATTTCCTATTTATATTTTTTATTTCTTCTAATAAATATTTAATAATAATAATTATTTCTTCCAATTATTTCTTCTAATAAATATTTATACGGATAATAATTGCCTTAGAACCGCAAAATAACACAAAACAAAAAGGATCCCATACAAAAACCCAATTGTTTGGATGCGAAGTCTTGACCAACCCCAACAAAGATGGACGTCATGACGTCCCATTTTGTGGCTTATTTTAAAGTAGAGGATATATTATATATCAGCAGAGATCATAACAAAATTAAAACCAGAACATAGTGTTTTATAGATACACATTTTTTTCTTTTTAATATTAAATTTCCAGGAGGTAAGATAAATAGTAATTTTGGGAATGGAATTATTCGTCGCATCATAGGAATTTTTAGAAAGGCTATTCGTATTGAATGATAAAATATAAACCAACTGATGGAAAGAATTTGCTGGGAAAAGATAGAGATGGATTAAAAACAAATTAAGTCGGTTAAAAATAATATTTAAGGCAGATTTAACATTTGGTGCTCCAGGAGCCACTACGTCTATACTTTCTATATCTGGTGCTGCAGGGCCGCAGATTATGGTTATAAATGGCTACTGTGACGGTCGAAAATTAAGTAAGTAATTCTTCTAGGGAAAAATTAAATCTTGAAAATTTATATTAAGTAAAGTAAGTATTCACCTTAAAAAAGCAAGGGAAGCGGTGTTTCCACGGCTTCTGTGGATTGCACGCCGCTGCTTAGATGTCACTTTTGTCGTTTTCACTACAATTTAAGTAAGTTACCATATCATAAACCGTATGGGAAAGTTTACTAAGATGGGGACAGGGACTTGCAATTATAGCGGCTGCCTCAATTATTAATAAGTCAATTATAGTGTGGCAAACGGATCTGTAACAGCCAAAGGAATTCGACGAAAATATTCGATATTGCCACGTTTAAATACAAAAAGGCAATATGTACTGGGAATAAAGTAATGTTCATTTGAAAATCGATTTTTTATAATTACAAATATTGACAATGAAAAAAGCGTATTTTAAAAGAATATTTTAACGTGGTTGTTACTTTTATTTTTATTTAATAACTAGTTTTTTAGTACTAAATGTTATAATAGGCAAACAATTTTTCCCAAGATATCATCGGCTTCAAGTGAACCCGGCAACACCACGCGAAAGGCGTGTCCAAGCGCATCTTGAACCTAGCCGAATTGGTGGATATCCTCGCACGCTTACTTGTTATGCGGAAATCGGACACGCAATTGGCTTTTTGTTGCCTAGGAATAGGGATTGAAAGATCCAGTGACAGGATTTTTATCTTTGACAATTTGTTGTGTCAATTGCATTCCCCTTACCGATGCCGCGCTGTTACAGATCCGTTTGCCACACATTAGTAGGGAGTATATCCATGACTACACGATGATATTTGCCCAAAGAAAACAGTAGGGTTGCTGAAAATACATCGACATCAAATTCCGGAATCTTTGGAATCTTTAAATGCCCCGGAGTAACTGCATTCCATTCACATGCGGAAATATATACATTGGACAGACGAGAAGGTATTTCACCACAAGACTAAAAGAACATAAATGCCGTATGAAGAATTGGGAATAAAATTAAAAACTAATAAAAAATTACAGGAAATTAAATATCTGAAGACTATGCAGAGAGTTAATAACAAGAGCTCTAATTAATTAATTCACAAGAACTCTAGTAACTTCAGTGGAGACCAGGCATACGGAAGCGAGTCATAAGTGGGGACCTACCCTATCGTCACAGACCAGCGACACGGACTGTAGCAATTAGGAAGGAAAATATTTTCTTGTTTTTGAGATATTTGAAGAAAAACGAAACTTTGGGTTTTCGTTTTATTAGCGTTGTTGAAAGAGAGGGTGAATTGAAACTGAAGTAATATCTTCATTGAACCTTTTTGAGCTCTATTAATTACATAGAATAAAAATAATTTTGTCTGTACCAAATTTCAACTCAATCAACGGTTCGGCCATTATCGTGTTAGAAAAAATATACATACATGCAGACATACATACAGACAGACAGAGATTTCTCTGGAAATGGTATTAATAGTCTTAACCTCAAAACGGATATATCCGACGTTATAAAGTAAAATATCACATTGGTGGTAAAATTTTTAATGCACAAACATTATTTTAAAATAATAATTTTAGAAAAATTTGGAGGTTTTTAGTCCCTGGGCCGCAGAGATAGACTATGCTATATAAATCCAAATTAATATACGTACCTACATAGAATTAAAACCTTTAGTTAAACGATTGGAGTTTTAAAGTAACTAAAGGAATTTTTATAAACAGATAAAAACTGGCCTAACTATTTAAATTCTCAAATATAAAGCAGGTCGTGTTGTGAAGTTTGAAGGTTGGTTTAAACAATAATGCATTTTTTATTTATATTTATACCGTTTAAAATAACTAAAGTAGTGTTTCGGTCAGTAATTGCAAGTAGTTTTCCATAAAACTTTGAAACAATTTATATTTCCTTTTTAATCGGAGAGTAAAACAACACAAATAATGTAATGTGAGGTTATGTTAGCATATGCCTATATGCTTGGAACAGTATACTAAATAATCTCAATTTATTCATAATAATAATCATTAAATCACATATTTGACTTGTATCTACAGCGAAGGAATTTCTATAAAATTATGGCTTGAAAAAATGAAATAACCATCACTTTATTGCTATTTGAAACAATAATTAACGTCTTGCTTTTTCCTTTGCTTTAGGAAACGTTAAAACATTTAACAATTCATACTATAGGTACTGCTGCTAGATATCACTTTTGTCATTTCCTGTGTGGAAGCGTAGAATAGAGATAGGGGTTTGGGTTGTGTTGTGTTACATAAACTCAAGTAACAGAATGGTGTAGGTATACTTATTATATACGACTTTATATAACATAAAGATGTTATGCAGGGCGTAACCTTCTTATAATAGGTATAGATAGATGGTACATTTCTGTTATTTTCCAAATAATCTAAAAGTAAACATCAGCTTCCAGGGCTTTGAGATTTGCTAATAACTGTTTCCTAATATGGGGGCAGGAAAATGCAGTCATAGCGTCTATCTGAATTATTAATAAGTCAATTAGCAGGGAGGGCGCCCATGACCACACGATGACACTCGCTCAAAGGAAAAAAGTGGGTTTGTGGGTTATGTTGACTGAGAATACGTCAACGGCGACAAATTTAGTAAACACACTGACATTCATCGAACAAAAATAGATTCAGGATGAAGGTTACGTATTTAATAATGGTCGTCATGATGTGGTAACATTGGTGCATGCGGCAAAGGTAAGGTGGCACCAAACCCACCTTCTCGTTGCAGAGGAAGACATTTGGCTATGCTCCAAAATTTCGTGTAAACACACCGCTCGCCTAATGGGAAACACGTTGCACTTTTAACTTATAAAAGGGGTCATGTGCATGTCACTATGAGTAAACCGCACTCTCTCAATCGCCATGCGGAAGCTGTCCGCAAGGTCGGGGTTGCTCAGATGAGAGAATAAAATTAAGACAATCCCGGGCGTTACGTAAACCCAAAATCCGAGGGGCGATTTACAAAGCGGCGCCTTGCATCGGTGTGGTCATGGGGATGCTGCGTGTCGCAGCATCCGTAAGGAATCGAGGCGGGAGGGGCCGCGCGTTGTGTCATACCTGGCGCCTTCGGGGGGCCGTGGGTCCTGCCTCGGCTTGAGGACAGGGGTCAGCCCCCATTTCTCCACCAATTCGAAGCGGGAAATGTTGGCGGATCACGAGAGGGGAGCCGCTTCCCCCTCGAGCCCCATGCCGGACTTCAGGGGCTGCACTCTCACTCGGCCGCGATCACACACAGACTGCGCCCGGTCGACTGGTTCGTGCGTCGTCGTCGTCGCTCGGACGTCGTCGGCGTCGCACTGCTACCAACCTGACAATAATCCGCCGCCGAACATGCTCGCACTCAAACGCTTATTTCACCTATTTTTTTACGCAAATAATTAGCCCGACACGCTCCAACAATTCGCAACTGTCATAATAAATTGCTTTCCGAAGAGGGCACATGATCGCGACCGTCGAAACAGGCGCGAAGGCAGCAGCATTCTGTCTAATCTACCGCAGCACCAGAGAGAACGCCTCTACTGGCGATATTTGCGCTACATCGTCGTGCAGCGCCTACTAAAAACAAGGATCCACTGGATCATGTGGAGAGAATCGCTACGCGCCGCGCCGGTTTAATTTCGGACGTACACAGCGCCTCTGCGATTTTCTTATTTATCGCGTGATACGTAAAAATAGTCGAAGGAATCTCGATGGGATAACTAAATATTTAATAGATGGTGTGTCTATATAAAATGAACTACGTAAATCAGAATGCAGCGGTTCGTCATTAATGAATAAGCGAAAATAAGTATAGTAAAAATGACCTTGGGGTTGTTATAGCGCTCAACCAGGTGCATTTGCTCTGCTGAATAATTATTGGTCAACTTTTGCCAGATTTATGAGAGAATCTTGAAAATTTACTTGCCTACCTACATAAGGACTGAATCGAAACTGAAAAATATGAAATTTAAAAGCTAAATATTTGCTTTGCTGTGTTTTTAGAGGTAGTTTACACTGTGTATACCTAGGTACTTACACTTAGTAAGAAACGCAAAGGTTCATCTATAGATATACTTGGCGTCAACTAAAAAATATGTTTTATTCACATTCATATCTGGTTATTTCCGACTTTTAAAAAGTTAGAAAGTATTTACCTTACTAACTTAATACTATTTACGTCACGAGAGAGTCATGAGAGAGTAGCCATGAGAGAGCCGCAAAATAATTTGTGTCCCTCCTAATCGTCACTTTGCGGCCCTCTTAAATGTTAAAAAATGAAAATATGTGAATGAATATAGAGAATTTATCCATAATAACGAACATGCAAAAACACAACTTTATTGAACTA